GCTGCTGCGCTACTCGTAGCAGAGCAGTGACACCCCACCCACTCGTCACCGTACAGCTAATGACACTCCAAAGTGTACCCAGACGAGATTTGACGGAAATGTGGTATGATATTACATCAACCATCTTCTTATCCAACTCCTCAGCCTCGATCTGGTCCAACTCGTTCAACAACTCATCGTCATCCATAATTTGGTTGCCCGAAGACAGAACCTTCCAAAATGGAAATCTACTCCAAGAAATAACCACACCAATCTCAAAAATGTACTCGTAATTTTACCAATTTTACATTCAACTTTTTTGAGTACAAATCATATTGTACCAACACCCACACGACACACTGCTCTCGACAACTCCCCCACCTGCGAAACCTCATTCTGCAGATCCTGCTGCTCAGCCATGTCGTCCATGAGCTCGTCAATCTGAAAAATCAAAAAACATAAGTACCCAATTTCAGTGTGGGAAAATATGCACATGATCAACTACAGTCAACAATATAAAATTTCTGAGGAAATTTCGGGAAATTTTTCCCGAATTCACATCGCCAATTCTACAATTTGGGAGTGACCTCCCAAGTTCAACGGACATATATTCTTCCAACACTGCTCTACTACATTATCAATATTAAGTTGCTGATTCATAGTCTTCTGCGCCGACACGCCTTGTGACAACGCTTGCACAGCAACTGCAGTCGTCTGGCTACTCTCCAAAGACAATATCTGCTGCTCTAGCGTCATACCTGGATATATGAGAAATACAAAACAGTCTAGGGGGGAAAATATGCATATATGTTGGTGACAATACGAAAATTCTGAGGAAATTTCGGGAAATTCTCATTCATTTCTATACATTTCTACTCGATCCCTATAATTAGTGAGGAAACTCCTGAGCTCAGGTGAAAAAAACGAACATATATTCCTACTCCAACACTGTATAGGAAATTCCTGAGCTCAGCTGAGGAAAGCAAACATATATTCCTACTCCAACACTGTATAGGAAATTCCTGAGCTCAGCTGAGGAAAGCAAACATATATTCCTACTCCAACACTGTATAGGAAACTCCTGAGCTCAGCTGAGAAAAACGAACATATATTCCTACTCCAACACTGTATAGGAAACTCCTGAGCTCAGCTGAGGAAAGCAAACATATATTCCTACTCCAACACTGTATAGGAAACTCCTGAGCTCAGCTGAGAAAAACGAACATATATTCCTACTCCAACACTGTATAGGAAACTCCTGAGCTCAGCTGAAAAAAAGCGAACATATATTCCTACTCCAACACTGTATAGGAAACTCCCGAGCTCAGCTGAGGAAAGCGAACATATATTCCTACTCCAACACTGTATAGGAAACTCCTGAGCTCAGCTGAAAAAAGCGAACATATATTCCTACTCCAACACTGTATAGGAAACTCCTGAGCTCAGGTGAGGAAAGCA